ACAGCCATTTACAGTGGTACTCATTTATTCAGTCCGGTCCTTGAACCGTACCTCATAGAGGGCAAAAACAAGTGTAAGATTCTGGCACACTCCTCCAAGAAGTCGGATAGACGGCCTCAACAGGACTTTTGTAGACAGACTTTCCGCTCAGGTGGTACCTGAGAGTGGAGGCAGCCCTTTCGGGCTGGGCAGTCCTCGATCCTTTCCCCCTAGATAGGATCGCCAACATGACCACCAGAACACTGGAGCCAAGGGCCAATACCAGTCCAAACACCCCTTCCGAGGCTCTGGGGGCCATCCTTACAGACGGACCAAGTGATGCCAAGGAGAACTCATAGGCGGTCGCTTGTCGCTGTTCAGCGACATTTGGGAGGTTACCACCACCGACTCTTGGGTAAGAGAGACCATAAGACACGGTCTCGCTCTAGAGTTCTTCTCAAATCCTCCAGACCATTTCATACAGTGTCCCGTCTCAAGAAAAACAACCAAGGCAGAATTGGTAGCCATGGCCATCTCCCATTTGATAGAAATAAGGGCCATAGAGCCAGTGCCTCCAGAACAGAGAGGAGAGGGATTTTACTCCATTCTGTTCATGGTACCCAAAGCCTCGGGGGAATGGAGGGCAATACTGGACTTAAAGGGTCTGAATTATTTCTTAACCTACAGGAGGTTCAAGATGCAGACCCTAAAGTCCATTCTGGCCAGCATCAGGAAAGGGGATTTCCTTTCCTCCATAGATCTGACAGAGGCGTACTTGCACATCCTGATCCTCCCAGAACACTGCAGATTCCTTCGGTTTTGTTACGCGCACCGGCATTACCAGTACAGGGCTCTTCCCTTTGGTCTCTCTTCAGTCCCAAGGGTTTTCACAAAAATTTTGGCAGTATTGGCAGCTCACCTCAGGATGATCCCGGTGCGCGTACAATGTTATCTGGATTATATACTTGTCCAATCCAGTTCTTTCCGGTCGGCTCAGTCAGACCTGGAAATCATGATCAATACTCTTCAGGATCACGGTTTTTCCGTGAACTTCAAGAAAAGCCACACAATTCCTACAAATTGCCTCCTTCATCTAGGCGCAATAATAGATTCGCATCTTTGCAAAGTTTATCTTTCACAGGAGCACCAGATCAGCATCCGGACGCTTGTCCACCAGGTTCGGAGAGAGAAGGTAGTTCCTCTGCTCCAGCTGTCTCAACTGCTGGGAAAGATGATCTCTTGCATGGGAATTGTTCCATGGGCCAGACTTCACTCCAGAAACCTACTGTGGTTTCTCCTCCCCTTCCAGAAAAGCAACATTAGTTCATCCACAAGGAGGGTGAGGGTTCCACACCACATCCTGTTATCTCTTCTGTGGTGGGCTTCATCCGCAATGACCAAGAGGACCATCTTCAAAGAGCCTCACAGGCTCACCTTGACCACAGATGCCAGTCTGTTCAGTTGGGGTGCCCATCTCCAGACTCACTTAGCGCAGGGTCAGTGGTCCTGTTCAGATTTAACTCACAACATAAATTGGCTCGAACTCAGAGCCATACATTTGGCACTCTGTCAGTTTTCCTCCCTAGTGGTGGGACAACACATCCTGATTCTGACAGACAATGTGGCAGCCAAGGCTCATGTCAACAAGCAGAGAGGGACCCGATCATGGTCGCTCATGCTGGAGACTCTGGATCTGGGTCTGTAGGCAGAGTCCAATCTGGCTTCCATCAGAGCGGAACACATATCAGGCGAGGCAAATCGACAAGCAGATTCCCTGAGCAGGGTCACGGTCGACCACTCGGAGTGGCGTCTGGACCCGGCACTGTTCAGGGAAATCTTGATTAGATTTGGTCATCCACAACTAGATCTTTTTGCCTCCCCGATAAACTCCCAATTCCCCAGGTTCTTCACCAGGTTCCCGGCATGGGGGGGGGGCAGAGGGAACAGACGGTGCGAGTGGCCAGGGGGACTGATTTACGCTTTCCCTCCCCTTCCGTTGATACAGGCAACCATCCGCAAACTGATTCAGGAATGGGCGGAGATAATCTTAGTTGCTCCACATTGGCCAAGCCATCCATGGTTTGCCGACCTTGTGGATCTGTCGATCTCGCCATGGTGGAGGATTCCCCCAGACCGAGTTGCTCTCAGTCAAGGGAATCTTCAACATCCAGATCCGCAGTGGCTCCAGTTGGCCGCCTTTCACTTGAGTGGGAGAGTTTAGCTAGGCAATCCTATTCATCTGGGGTGATCTCAATGATCCAAGCCTCAAGGCGCCCCTCGACTAATAGGATTTATGACGCCATGTGGAAGAACTTTTGCACGTGGTGCACTAAGCAGCATCTCAGTCCGTTATCAGTCACCATTCCTAAATCTTGGAATATCTTTTGGAAGTTATGAATAAGGGATTATCACCTAGCACCATCCGCAGACCCTATCAACGGTCCTTACCTGCGACAACCTGGTTCCATTATCACAACACCCAGCAGTTAGTGCTTTTCTAAAAGGGGCGATTAATGCTAGACCACCTGCGGTGCATCATTATCCCTCGTGGGACTTATCTAGGGTGCTGCAAGCTCTGACTTCTCCACCGTTCGAGCCCATCAGGTCTTGTTCACTTCATTTTCTTTCTCTAAAAATGGCCTTCTTAGTAGCTATCACATCGGCTAGATGGATTTCGGAATTGGCCGCACTCTCAGACAGGAATGACTTGTGTACCTTTTTCGAGGATAGTGTGGTCCTTCGATTGGACCCTTCTTTTATCCCAAAAGTCAATACCTGGTTCCATAGATTCCAGGATGTGGTTCTTCCAGTTTTTTGTCCTAACCCATCACATCATCTGGAGAGACAGTGGCATAAATTAGATGTGCGCCGGGCTCTGCGCCATTATGTTAAGCAGACCTTGGTTTTTTGCAAGTCGGAGACCTTGCTCATGTCTTTCCAGCCCTCTTCCATGGGTCAGAAGGTCTCCTCTTTGACCATTGGTAGATGGATCAGAGCATGCATTGCTCGAGCCTATCTCTCTCAGTCTCTCCCAGTTTCTACACACATCACTGCTCATTCTACACGCAGTGCGGCTGTGTCAGCACCCTGGTCTACTCAGGCATCTGTTGAGGAGATCTGTAGGGCAGCGACTTGGTCCTCCCCTTCCTCATTTGTAAAACATTACATGATTGATAGGTTTGCAGCGGCGGATGCCTCGTTTGGTAGGAGGGTTCTACAACAAGTAGTTTCTTCTCAGGGGACACAAGCTTAGACTCTTCCTCCCCCGTAGGGACATGAGCAGCTTTGGTATGTCCCACCAATGGATTCTACATTCATCATGCTTACCTGAACACCTTTTCTCAGCATGATGATATAGAATCCACACCCTCCCTTCACGGCAGTCTAGGCAGGTGTCATAATAATTGGAGCCATTGTGTCGGACTTTGTCACGGATGCTTCACCTCATCAATAACTGGGAAGACACACCCAGAGGGAGGCATGGCTAAAGTTCTGACTTAGTCTCATCTGAGCAGGAAGGCTGAGATTACCCACCAGTGGATTCTACATCATCATGCTGAGAAAGGGCGTTCAGGTAAGACAACGCCCCTTTTATCTGATTACTGCATAAGTTTTCCTTTCTTTCCTGAGATGTGATTATATTTCATTTCTGTGTGCACATGAACAAAGAACAAAGACTTACTTAATTCTCTTCATTATATTACATTATCTGAATGTGTCAATGAATTGGTACCCGTGAAGTGATAAGAATGTCATATAGTAGGCAGAGCACAGTGGAAGTGGTTTGACTTAGTTCCTTTAGGAGCTCTAAACATGCCTCAGGGTCACAATGATAAATTATTTTTGAAACTGAATGATTATAGGGCTAAACTACTGTAGCAAACCATTTTCTGTTAAATGTCTCTTCTCCTAGACTAGTATTTCCTTCCTAGTGTTGAATATTTTTTCTAGATTTGTGATAAATATGTGAAATTATAATTTCTTTTCCACATGTAGCCTCTACCCCACAGGTCTTGCACATAATACAAAGATATGAAGGACAAATAATAATAGTGGGGGGTGTTGATCTTTTTTCTCTGTCATAATTCTATTGTAAGCTCCCCCAATTAGTATTCAAATTTTATATTTACCGGCAGATTAATTTTATTTGTAATTTAGAGTTCTTAACATTTTAATTCTTGCACGATTTATGGGAAAAATAATGAAAAACATATGGATGTACTTAGTGTCCCCAACTTTGCATGGCCACTATTGTATGGGATCTTCAAAAGCTTGGGATGTGCCATTTAACTTATCCAGCAATTATGATTAAACAATTTTTTTAAGATGACAAATGGAGAAAATAATTAAATATATGGAGAATAGTTTTACCAACTATAATTAAATGGTCTAATTAAAAATAAATTAAGCCATTTCCCCATCATTTTGGGGATTTTGGATCTCCATTCTGCTCAAAGGAAATCCATACAATATGTTATGGCAATTATTGTCATTGTAATGTTTGTCTGTGCCAAATGCATTAACTTGGAATCTCTCTCTCTCTCTCTCTCTCTCTCTCTCTCTCTCTCTCTCTCTCTCTCTCTCTCTCTCTCTCTCTCTCTCACACACACACACACACACACACACACACACATAGAGGCATAAACACACCCAGAGACACACACAGAGGGAGAGAGGGAGAGACTCTCTCTCTTAATGATTTATCCCTTTCTCAAACTTTAAAGGTACTAAATTTATTAAGAGAGTTTAATTGGCAAAAAAGAAACACGTTTTTTGTGAGTCTTTTTTGTTCCCATTTTAATTAATATATGGTTCACCAAGAAATTCTTTAGTTACTATAAGATGATATAGTTACTATAAGGCTCTATGAAATGAAAAGAGAGCATGTAAAATTAGTTGAAATACATTATCAGCTATTGTATCATCTATATGTAGTTATTCACAAAACTATCCATTCTTCTTGATAGATGATTGAAACTATCAGTTTGGTATTGCTGTGTTTACATCAGAAAATAAAGTTGTATCAATAAATCTTTCAATAAATTAAAAGATAAATTTAATTTTGAATCAGAAACCATGCATGTTTGTTCAAAAGAAATATCTACTGAGCTTAATAGGGCATAATTCCAAATAATGCTGTGCAAACTTTCAGGTTCAGATTTGGAAACTATCTATATTCAGTTTAAATGTGATAGGTTTTTTTTCTCATTATAAATTCAGAAAGAAATCAACCAAATCTTGATTGCTCATTCTTCTATTTGTTAATTTTTACACAGTGTTCAAATTGAAACACAATGTTAATATTAGAAAGTTGGTCATTTCTAGTACTCCCATTTAAAATATGATATGAAAAATCATAAAAGTGACATAATAAACAACTTCAAATGCAGTTACTTATTTTTTTCATGAAGCATAATTAATGGGTTAACTATTAGATAGGCACATTTTCCACATATGTAATCTTATTTTCATCAAAGGACAAAATTCAGTATTCACACTTGGACAGTTTAATGTCTTCAGAACATTATTAATCATGAAAACAGGAAATGAGTGATAAATTATCTTTTCAATAATTAATAGTAGGTGTCTATCTTATGTATCACTTCCATAACAAAATATAATTTGATAATTAATCTAGTGAATTTCTCCCACAGCTTCCTACTTGAAACATTATTCAAATTTCCAAATTATAACAGACAATTTCCATATGAATAGTAAAAAGTTGTTCACATTAAAATATTAATTGTAAACAAACTAAAACACATTGGGGGGGGGAAATCCATCTGTATAACAAAAGAAAATTATATAATTCTATTTGAGTGAAATCTTTCATCTTTGATTTACAGGTTTGCATCTGCTATAATTGAAACCACACTGTTTTATAACTTTCATATTCTGGCTTTCCCGGAATCTTGTTTTAATTAAAGTCTCTTTCAGATTTTTGAATAAAAAGCATGACAGTGTTCACTTATGGCTTTAATATCTTCTTCGAGCTTGGAAAATGTATAAAAGAATATTTTGCTTGTCGATCAAAGGAATGTCAGGTATCAGATAGTGTAAAATATAATGGTGAACAGAAAATAATGCATAATTTTCTGGTATGTATAGATTTCTATATACACATGTGTATGTCTATGTATATGTATGCATTTATGTATGTCTGAGAGAAAGATTTTAGTGAGATAACTTTTCTATCACTATTTGCAAACCCCCAAAGAACACTACAGATCCTTTCCTTTTCTGTGACAATAAGGCAACACGTGTAAGAGTTTTAGCATTATCAGCAAAAGGCACAGCTCTTCAGTAATACTCATGAATCCACATGGACTTGTGGCATAATCTTGCTATTCATCAGAGAAGAAAATAAATAACAGGAGATACCTCTTGGAAACTTGCTACCGAGTTCCAAGCTTCAATGGGATTCAGTGGAAGAGAACAACTGACATGCCAACTCCAAAAGAAAAAATAATCTGCAAAAGTACTAGATTTTCCAGCAAACCTCAGGAAGGTCCCTTTTGCTTATCTCTCTTAAAAGTGTAGCACAGGATTGGTCTGAAACAAGATTAAGTCAGATAGGGAAAAACTGTTGATTTCTGAAAGCTGAATCAGTTTTGAAATCAGTTTAAATCAATTTACAATCAATTATACATTTTGCTAATACCATCTGTAATCTGTGCAACATTTTGCCAAAGACAAAACATCAGTCTCTCCTTGCCAAGCAAATTTTGTTCACGGGCTTCTAATTATCATTAACAACAGAAATACAAACACAATCACCATCAATAACAGAAAGCTAAAGAGACCCATTTAACATACTTGCATTTGGGATAGCTGAAAAAGAGCGGATTGGGCCTCCTTTGCTACCCAGTTTCCCTTTGGAAATTAGTGCTTCTCTCATGAAATTGGTCTAGTACCTTTAGAGTGGCATTACAGAAGAACAATTCGTAATTTCATTATATCCAATTAATCATATGAACCATTTCACCTAATCAGAGAGAGGAAAAGTCCCTGTAAAATTATTTTAACACGTCAGAAGCAGGAGGGAGATTTGTGATTCTGCCTAGTTTTTTCCCTAGCGGCTTCACAGGCTGTTTCGATTTTCATAGACAATCATAGACAAAAATGCAGAATGACTTTAACGTTTCTATTCTACCACTGAATTTGGAGAGTGGATCAGAGAGCATATAAAATTCGGCACAAGATTCTGCCTTTCCTTCCAAGTCTGGTTTACTCTACTGTTAAAATTCTAGTGGTTACAGTGAAGGAGTCTTAGGCTCTTTTAAGTCTCTCCCACGAACAAGTGAGGCTGCTGTTCAGAACTCTGTGCCCAATGTTTATGTTCCAACTGATCTCTGCCACCCAAGCAGCAGACAAGACATGTCTAAGGGTGCTTTTTTTGGGGGGGGGGGAATACACAATGATGTCACACACAGGAAATGTCAGGGGAGGACTTGGCACTTCACAAGGCTGACTCTTCTTCCATAGGCTCGCCAGCAGCTCTAGAAAAATAAACAGGCAATCAGAATATGGAACCAGAGTACACAATGACATTGTAGATTTTCATGCATAATCAAAGCTGATTTTTCAGCTCTCCCCCATGTTTATTTGTGTTCTTCAGCTAGCCATAAATAAAGTTTCTTTCCTTGGATGTATAAACAAATGTCAAGTGGAAAAACATTTTCGATCCAAGCAATCACTGCAAAAGGTTCCTGTTTATATTAAAATTGTCAGAATATTTTATAATGTTAAGTTTAGAAATGCACATGCTTTGTGTCAGCAAAATCAAATTGTTAAATGGGGAGAAAGGTGCAAGCCCCCTTCTCTGCTCAAAAGAAATATTTATGGATTCAATTTATTCAGTTAAACAATGGAATACCTTCTTCAAAATCAGATAAAATGCAAGGAATTTAAAACAGTTGCACTGCTTTGCTCTTAAGATTTTGTTGGCAACTTGCCTGCCTAAAACTTTTGCACTCCAATTCTGAATTTGTTTAGCAGACTACTACCATGAAGTAGATATCTAATAATAATAAATAATCTGATTGTCCATACTGCCTTTATTAGAAATCACCTGAAAAACAGTTAGTAAACGAAACGAAAGCTTTTGTTAAAAAATTTAAAAAATTTTTTCATCAGGATTAGAAGATCTGTAATCCTACACTGATTTCCAAAAATTTCAACAAAATTGCATGTATACAAATGCATACATGTTCACTTCATTTTTGATGGTTTAAGATATTTTCATCAGTGAAATTAGTTGTAGGATAAAAAAGGCATTAATAGGTTAAATATTAGCTGTGTGCACATATGTACACATTCAATATTAGTGGAATAAAAAACATAATTGTACTGACTAAAGGAAACTAATCAAGGAGAGAAGCAACCTAGAACTAAGGAAAAACTTCCTGACAGTTAGAACAATTAACCAGTGGAACAACCTGCCTCCAGAAGCGGTGAATGCTCCAACACTGGAAGTTTTTAAGAAGAGACTGGACAGCCATTTGTCTGAAATGGTATAGGCTTTCCTGCCTGAGCAGGGGGTTGGACTAGATGACCTCCAAGGTCACTTCCAACTTTATTATTATTATTATTATTATTGGATCATCGCACAGTCAGCCAGATGTTCAGACTGGATTTGGCAATTTGTCTACCTATCAAGTCCTTACCCAGGACCTGGGATAGGAAGATGTGGATGTTTGATGGTATTACAGGTATCGTCGCAGGATGGAAGCAGTTCCTAGTAAGGCCACCTTTTGCAACTGATAGCGAATTTGTCAATGCCAATGGTGTTCAAGTGGTGCTCCAGTTGCTTTGGGATTGAACCCAAGGAGCCTATTACTATTGGTACTACCCTTGCTTGCTTTTGCCACAGTCTATTTGTAGGCCTTTGTATTTTGTTATCTTCTCCAGTTCTTTCTCGTCTGTTCTGCTGTCTCCAGGCACTGCCGTGTCCACTATCCAGACTTTTTTGTCTTTCTTATCGACAATTGTTAAGTCTGGGGTGTTATGTTGCAGGTGCTTGTCTGTTTGAATTCTGAAGTCCCAGAGCAGTTTAATTTTATCATTTTCTATGACTTTCTCTATTTTATGATCCCACCAGTTTTTGCTTACAGGCAAATGATATTTTTTGCAGATCTTCTAATGCACCATTGTTGCTACTTTGTCATGCCGCTGCTTGTAGTCAGATTATTATTATTATTATTATTATTATTATTATTATTATTATTATTATTATTATTATTATTATTATCTCTTGAGAATATTTGCAGTTAAAATGTGATTCAGGTCATTCACACAGGATTCTACTAATATGGGAAATTGCTACTAATATGAAAAAAGCATTGACATTTAAAGTCCTTACAGCTTGCTCTAAATTCTATGAGTTAGTACAATAAGAAAGGAAAATTATTAATTTTATTTTAAAAAATTGTGACATAGTATGTCAATTTTTTATTGCACATGAGGAGGTAGTGATGTGCAATATCTTCCAACTTACAGTAATACTGAGAAAGTCACACAAGGAAAAAAAATAGATTTGGTTAAGCAGAAGGGCATATATATCCATGAATGCATGCTGGATAGCTAACAAACACAAGAAAGCTTACAGTACTATTAATTACATACTAAGAACTCAATTAAAAAAGCTAAATATATAGTCAAAATCTATCTTATCTGATTTACCTTACCAGAAAATAAAATTATATTAAAATATCTGACACTATTATGAAATACTGTATAATTGTTAGCCTTTTGATATTTGTTTGGGGAGAAAAGTACATAATTTATCTCAACTTAGCACATTTGTTTTAGAAAGCCATATTTACTTTTGTATTTTATTGAGAACTAACTTGGGTTCTGTGATTTTGACACCTGGAATATTCACTCAAATTCTAATTGAGGCTCATTTGAACATATTCTTAAACATAATTGCTTAACTGCCAACTTCAACAAGCTCTCAAGAAAATAACAGTATTATAGGATAATCTGCATCTGTGTAGGGAGGCTTCATTCTGTAATCATTCTTCATATATTTTAGTCTCCAGGCCTTTAATCAACTTAGTTACTCTTCTTTGCACTTCTTTCAAAATCTCAACATCTTTTTTGTAATGTGGTGACCAAAACTGGATGCAATATTCCAGGTGTGGCCTTACTATGGCTTTATAAAGTGGTACTAATATTTCACATGATTTTGATTCCTTGCCTCTGTTTATACAGCCAAGGATTATATTAGCTTTTCTGGCTACTGCTGAACACTGCTGGCTCATATTTAAGTGATCATCCACTAGTATTCCAAAGTCCTTCTCACGGTTACTGTTTTTGAGCCAGGTTGCACCTAATCTTATTTGCACTATTGTTTTCTCCTGCCTAAATGTAAAGTGTTGCTGTTCTCCACATTAAATTTCATGTTATTGAAGCCCATAGTTCAAGTCCGACAAGATATGTTTGGATCCTGAGCTTGTCTTCTGGGGTGTTGGCTAGTCCTGCCAGCTTAGTGTCATCTGCAAATTTGATGAGTTTCCCTTCTATAAAGCCATTTATGAAAATATTGAAGAGTATTGGGCTTAAGACTGTTCACATGATAACATTATTTTAACAAGAGAAGGGGGGGGACAAGGGAAGGAAAACCTTAAGCATGATGCTCGGCCATGAGACTGTTTTCTCATTCTTTTTTTGATGGTAAATGAGTCAGAAATTAGTTGGCCAAGGAAATAACAGTGTTATTCAAATTCTAAGCTGGAAATGACTCATCTTACTCTGAGCAAGTATGTAACTGACAAGTACTTACAAAAATTCTCTTTCTTTCTCATATACACACTGGCACTCAAACATTCTCTCTCTCTCTCTCTCTCTCTCTCTTTCTCTCTCTCTCTCTCTCTCTCTCTCTCACACACACACACACACACACACACACACACAAAACACACTAAGATCTGATTTTATATAACAGTTAGAAACCTGGGCCTACTTTCCAGCTACGACTGTTTGTATTTGCTGTGAGAGTATGCTGGTGAATAATACTAAAAATACTGGACTGTATCCAAAATAGGCGCATCCAACTGGGATGTAGAAGTCTGGGATGTAGAAGTCAACTTCCTGACTTTCTTTTGCACAGAGCAGTTCATCTAACTAAAAGATTCCTAATGTTTTACACAAGAAGTGGCAATTATGTATTTAAAGACACATCTAAAGTTATAAATTTTAAGGAAGTATATGGGGGAAAGGAGAATGGGATCCAGATTAAATTTAGGTTTAATGTAATTATTTAGAAACAGAAAATGTAATTAATATCCAACTATCAGTTGTTTTTCCCCTTAAGTCAGAGGTCCCCAATCTTTTGGGCACCAGGAACCGGTTCCGTGGAGAAAGATTTTTCCACGGAACGGAGAGTGCATGATTTTGTGTGCATCCCATAGATGGGGCTTTGTTGTTTATGCAGATCGCTTGCTGGCATGCCACGGCTCGGTACCAGTCCATGGACCAGGGGTTGGGGACCCCTGCCTTAAGTCACTTTGAACATTTCCATTTGGTCAAAAAATGGGAAAGAATTATAGATATTTTCCTATTTTATAAATAAATCCCTATAAATAAAACTCTATTTTCCAAAGGACCAGAAAGCAAAGCCAAGAAGCAATGGATGGAAACTAAACAAGGAGAGAAGCAACCTGGAACTAAGGAGAAATTTCCTATCAGTGAGAAAAACCAGTGGAACAGCTTGCCTTCAGAAGTTGTGGGTGCTCTATAAATGGAGGCTTCTAAGAAGAGATTGGACAGCCACTTGTCTGGAATCTTATAGGGTCTCCTGTTTGAGCAGGGGGTTGGATTAGAAGATCTCAAAGTCTCTTCCAATTCTGTTATTCTGTTATTAGAAGTCCGAGGAGACTTCTATCAGAAGCCTTTGATTTATATTATATAGCACCTATCAGAAGCCTTTGATTTATATTATATGCCTCTTCAAGATCAAAGATATTACCGACCAAAATATAGAAGAAACTGGATACATTTAGTCTTGAGAAGGATAGACAAAGAGAAATATTGCAGCACTTTTCAGGTACTTGAATAAGTCATACTAATGGAGTCTAGTTGCAGTGTATTTTTTATGTTAGGAAAACTTTCCTGACAAGAATGATACCTTGACAGTGCAACAATTATTCAGATGGGTAGTGGAGTCTTCATTACACCAGACAACAATTTTTTTCAAAAGCAATTATGATAGAATCCTTCAAACTGAATACAAATATAATTTCAGAATGACTGTATCATGTAGGAATTTTGAGAAATTGAAATTAATTTTTAATTACTATAATGTATTTAATCATATAATGTTTCCAAAACTGCATAAGTTCCACAGGGCTAAAAATATTTTGCTGCTGATTTTCCTTTGCCTGATGCATCATGCTGTAGTGTTCAACAATAATCAGCCATCATTGATAGATTCCAGTTGGTCTAATCCCCTTTTTCCATTGTAACAATGTCCTGGTGAAAACCTTTACCATGTTCA